CAAGGTCACTTTCCTACGGTAGCAATCAACAATTGCACCGTGCCTTGACAGCCAATCCATTCCGAGTACCACATCAAACAGGGTCATCGGAAGGATAATCAAATCTTCTCTCAATTGCTCACTACCAATCGTGATTTCACATGATTTACACACACTCATTACCTCCACACATCCCAGTGGGGAGTTCAAAGTCATCGGGACTTCTAAATTCTCACTCTTCAGTTTCAAAGTCCGAACAAAAGAGCTTGATATGAACGAGTGTGTGGCACCTGTATCAAACAACACGTGAGCAAAAGAATGCGAGATTAGGATCATACCCTCAACCACCGCGTTGCTGGTCTGACCTCCAGAGCTACCTCCTGCCAGGGCATAAGTTTGTCCCTGTACTTTTCCCTTTCCTCTGTCACCAACATTAGGCCGTTGAGCCGGAGGCCTATACTGTTGTGGTGGAGGCAGTTGTGCCGGTCTCGGCGCTTGAGGCCGGAACTGTGTATACTGAGGCGGCTGATAAGTCGGCGCAGGAGGGTATGACATCTGTTGCGACTGATATGGTGGCATGTATTGTGGTGGCCCTTATTGGCTGTAGGAAGTATCACTTTGGGCTTGTTGAGCCAGCGGCCGATTAGGACAATTCCTCCTAATATGGCCCACCTGCCCACAATGGTGACACCTGGGCCCGTATGGAGCATTTCTGTCACTCCCAGACGAACTACTGCCACCGCTTGCCATTTCCCCAACCATCTGTCCCTGGTTGCGGTTTCTTCTACCACTCCGCTGTGGTCCACCTGAAACAAAAGGTCTACCAGAGACGGAAACTCGACCCGCCTCTTCTTCTTTGCTTTGGCGATAGGCCAAGTTATCCTGTTCCACCCGTGTAGCAGCAGCTACCAAATCCCGGAAGTTTCGAAGTCTCAGAGCCACCAAGGATTTCCTCACAGAGTTCTTGAGGCCCTTCTTAAACTTAAGACATCTCATGTGTTCAGACTCCACCAGAGATGGCGCAAACCGGGACAGGTCATTAAACTTAGCCTCATATTGCCTCACCGACATGTCACCTTGCTGCAGCGACATGAATTCAAGTGCTTTTTCTTCCCTGTAACTCTGAGGGAAATACTGGTCATTGAACAGCGTCTCAAACTGCTCCCAGGTCAATCCTACAACATTCATTCTCCTCTTGACCTGCTTCCACCAAGTGTTTACTAACCCTTCCATCTTGTACACCGCAAACTCTACCCAGTATTCATCTGGAACTCCCATAGTACTCAAATGCTTAACTATGGAGTCAATCCAAAACTCCGCCTCCTAGGGTCCTCCCTCACTATTAAACGAGGGGATAGGCGTACGCCTAAATTCCCGGAAGTACCCTTACTTCATATTCTCAACCGGCCGCTCGTTTCGAGCTCTTGTGGCCATGCCTTGAAAGGCAGCATACATGGCATCCAGAAATCCTTGATTCTGTTGTGCCGGTTGATTAGCAGGCCTACGGCGAGGCGCCATTTCCTTCAACTGAAATAAAACTAGACTATTCAGTGGATTACAGATGTCACACATGTATGAACAATCCTGGGGTTTCTTGACCTAGGGCTCTGATACCACCTTTGTCACGCCCCCCAAACGGGGTGGGTGACGTGGAACTCGATTTGGGATTAATAAAGCAGATTC